GAGATTTCTTTATGCTGCAAGCACTTGCTTCATATAGCGAGTTTATATTAAATGTCAGCATTATTTAGTGAGCAAGCCAAGGACTGGGCAGGGCTTCAGGGCGGGCGCTTGAGAGCGATGCTCGCACTTTCCGTGAGGATGACGAAACGTACTGTTGCCGCGAGGAGACATTAATGAGAACAAGACATATATATATATATATATATAAGGCATACACATATTCAAAGAGGGATTATGGAAACACTGCACCAGGACTGAGGAGATGCAAGCGATCAAGACCTTCATTGCAGAGCTGCCGTCTTTCCAGGTCGGCGAGCTTTAGGAGTTTGGGCTGATTCAGGATTTTTTCGTAGGATCACTGGAATACAGTTTTGGAGGCCTCGGTTGCAACTGAGCCCGTGGACAGCCCATTCGCTGCAGAGCAACTCGGAGAAGCTGTGCACGCCACTCGCCGATTCTGTGTGCACGTCCTGTACACTAGTGGCCCAAGCCACTGTATACGTATACATACCAACCCCAACAACATGACCTGCGTGAGGTGCCTGGCTTTACAGCAGAAAGCCTCGACGAGGAGCCGGACGAAGATGCAGATGTGGCCAGATTATTATAATTAGCTAGGAGCCTTGATAATGTGTTTGTTGCGACTCTACAGTCCTCCCCTAATTATAAGTAATTAGCTCCAGGCAGCGAGCGATGGCGAAGTCGAAGACGACGGCAGCGGCGCAGAGGCAGATGAATTCCAGGAGGCGCGCGGCTTAACCTAGGATGTGCTTTGGCTTGGGGTTTGGGGGCTGGGGTCTCGGGTGTTGAGGCTTCAGCTTTGTGTCATTTGTTCGTGGAAACAGCGTTCTTACCCCGAATATCCGCAATTGAAGCTAGCATTCCCAATGCCTGCATTAAAGGCCCGAGAAGCCTAATTATATTAGTATATTGCTCCGAAACCTGAAAACCTACGGGGCTGCGAGCACAGCGGAACTCACGGCTGCACACTGCGGTAACGATGCTTAGCTTGCCAGCCGGAGCCATAGGTTATAATTGATGATCATGTCAGGAGTCAGCAGTGCCATCGACAGACGTGCCGGAAGCTTCCATGGAGGACGACGAGACTTGAGCATTAGGGGTCTAGGGTTCACGCCGGTTTATACTATGTATATAGATATATATGTATATATATATATAGAGTTTTACGTGTATTTAAAATATATATATATATATATATATACAGTTCCAGGGTTTGGAGTTATCGGGTATTAGGATGTTGGTTTTGGGATTTTGGGGCTGCGGCTTGGACGGTTTGGGGTTTCGGGTTTGGGCCGGGGCTTGGAATTTAGGGTTTAAGGTTGTCGTAGGTTTAATAAGGTTTGGGAATAACGGCTTAGGGCTTCTGCTATTCGACTTTGAGGTTTGGGGGTCCGCTTTGTCTCGCATTTCCAGTACACCGTCCCCAGCCTTTAATTGATATTCGAGCATTTGAAATCGAAACCCAAAGAACCGAAGCTTGAATGGTCAAAACCGATTCAATACGGCGAAAGCAGATTCGATGGATGACCAATAATTCCTTCACATGCCTAGCCCCAATATCATCCTTAAAACCTAAATAAACCAAATCCCTTATAATCGAACCAAGCTGTCCGATGTTGTTCCTGAGAGGAAGGCGCAAGCCGAAAATAATATTGGACACGAAGCCGTAACCTCGATATCTGAAACCCAAAAAACTAAACCCAGAACACATAAATCACAAACCTCTAAAACCCCCAACCCTAAAACCCGACTCCGTAACCCCAAACCCTAAACTCCTAATATGATAAGCCGTGACTTTAAAACCCGAAATATATCCAAAAGTCCGAAACCCTAAAAACCCCAAGCCGTAAGCCTAAAACCCCTCCCGCATCATAAGGTATTTGCTTTGGGTTGCCTCCCTGGTCGCAGTCGTATACGTAGATGAATATGGATAGATATATAGACCTCAGAATAGATACGTATATCAGTCCCTCCAGGATTCACAAGTGCCACCGCCCTCGCCAGCATCGCCGGGGCTGGCCAAGGATCCGCGACCTCGGATTCCGGGAGTCTATCTATCTATTTATCTATATGTGTATCTATCTATCTATCTTTCTATCTTCTATCTATCTATCTATCCATCTCGGTGGAGGATTTCTGTGGTGCAGGGATCGGGCTTCATGATTTCGGTGTGGGGGTTGCTCGCTTCATGTTAATTAACTTTTTAATTAACAAGGATTTGCTCGAAGTTGACGGTCGCTGAGGCTTGCAGTGATCTCATAAACTCGGGGAGTTGTCTAGTATAAACAACCCTGAACCCTGTTGTGTACGTGCAGTATATATAAATCTTGAACCCTAGCATGCCTTACAATATAATACCCTGCCCTTGGTGAGTTCTGTGCTTGTACACATGTCGCATATACGTACACAGCACATGAAAACTGTAGCTCACGAAACATCTGATCAGGAGGAGGGGAAACTGCTCGATGCAGATGCGGTTCCGGCGCCACAGAAGGCGCTGCAGGCCCAGTTGGAAAACATGAAGTGCGGCGAGAAAGCCCTCGAAGTTCTGCAAGCGCAGCAACAGTTGAAGAAGGCCGCTAGGGAGGAAAAGGCGGCAAAGACGCTGGCACGCAGCTGCGAGTCAGCATCGTACACATTGCATCATCTGAAATATCGTTATAATGCTGCACAGATAATGAATTGTCACCGTGTACCCATACTCTGTCTGAGGCAAGGCCAAGGCAGCACCGGGCAAAGCTAAAGCTAAAGGAAAGGCGAAGAAACCAGCAGCCACAGCCGAAGAGGAGCCCACAACAGGCAACGCCCCGGAGCCCAGCGAGACCAGCAAGACAGACACACCAAACGAAGGCAACACCCCCAGCGAGACCGTCAAGACAGACACACCAAAGGAAGGCGACACCCCCAGCGAGACCGTCAAGACAGACACACCAAAGGAAGGC